CAATTTTTAAAAGCATATTTTTAGCACATCAAGTATCTATTAACATAATCTAATGCCCTCTTTATATGGCGCAGTGTTCTCTTGTATATCAATTATATCTACATCCGCGATTGTTTAAAGATCACAGGTTGTAGCAGCTTTGCAGTTATCTCTGATAATAAGAGATTCTAAATCTTTATAATTATATTTTTCACAATTAGCTCCTGAGGCATGGACGCTGGACATATTGTTAATTAAAAGTGTAGTGTAGGCACTCTGAAACTGTTCTGGTGTTGGATTAACATTGCGGCACCCATGGCTTCTAATGGTCCCAAAAAAGTTTTCAACAGGGTCTTGGTTGAGGTGCCACATCCAAACAGATGTAATACCATACTTAGTTTCCAATTTTTTTAAAAGAATTTGTATACCATTCAGTGTCCATACCCAAATTTTTATTGTTGGTACGTTCAGGATTATTTGACATTTTATTTATAAATTTCATCTTATTTAATATAGCTTTTGCTTCATTCCACAAACTATGGAAATTTCAAATCTACTCTCTTCAACTAAAGGAATATAATCATGTTCATTATCAGAAGTAACAAACTCACCTTCGTCACTAGAAGATTCTGCTAATATCTCTAGTAATTCTGTTGAATTATATCTTCGAACACGTGATCTTTGTTGAGATGTACTCGCTCAATATTCATAATGAAATAATTATAAAGTCACAAAATACAAATATGCTCGTACAATAGAAACATAAGTATATAGTCAAATTTCAAACACGATGCACTGAATGGATTCAGTGTTTCTTGTGCGCCGATAACCATGTTCCGTACTCCACCTCTCCTCTGCTTTTATCGTGTCAAATGTTTAGCTTAGCTAAAGTAATAATATTCAAAGTATGTGTAACACAAAAGTAGATCTTGATTGTTTACATTACGTATACACTGTATGAAGGTACCCGGGTACCTCGTCACTCTGTTAAAGGTGTTTTATTTGTCACTCACATAAGGGTTAAGGAAATCATCTATTGGGTGTGATTTATATTCATTTTGCTTTTTTGTGTTATTTTCAATAATGTTCTTCATCAAGTTTTCAGACGAGGACTGTTTGAGTGGCACTTTACGATGTTTAGTGACTTTACCACTGCTACGGTTACCACTTTGAACACTCTGTTGTGTTGTAGATTCATCGTTCCTTTGCACTTCTGTGATCCTATCTCCTGTAACCCTAGCTCGTTCCGTGTCTGTGTCTCCTTGGTTTTTTTTTCTGTTTTGTGTGATTATTGTCTGTCCCTGTCACTTGTGACTCTTGCTCTTGTTGTATCTCCGATTCATTTGTGTCTGCATCGTCGTCTTCGATATTGGATATCGTTTTACATTGTTGAATGTAGGGTAGCAAAAATTGTAGCATGTGATGGACGTTCCCGTATCTCTCCATTTTTATCACTTTAATATCTAATCTAATCACTATAACTTATGTTTTATTTCTTTTCTCTTTTTAAATTTTATTTCCTTCTTTATTTATTCTTTACCGTGTTCTTTACTAACATGCTAGTATCTATTTGACTGTATCGATTACTTTTATACACTTGCATGCTCAACTTCTAATACTAACTTGCATTATTCTAGCACATAATGAATTCCATACCAGAGGGCCTAGACAAAGTCACATTTTTATTAACGATAACGAAGGTAGAGAACTCCAAAATGTATGGAATTGACATATGCTTTCGAAAGATCACGTGATCGATCGTTTTCGATCGCTAATTGCTAGACAATGTCAAACTACGTAACGAATGTCCAATGGTAGCTTGAATATTGAATGGGCCATTCGCCCTCCATCTAGCAAAGTAGCCGCAATGCCTGACGATGCAACTGCCAATGCGATTTTCTGTTGCAATCGTGTTTTGCCAAGAATCAACGATATTAAAAATGTCTTACCGGTCCCGCCTGGTGCGTCCAAGAAAAACAAACCGCCTTGTTCAGCAGCAACAGTCAGCATAATCCGATCATAAATATTTTTTTTGTTCTGCTGTCAGTAATGGTTCACTGTTCACGATAATTGTTGCTAAATTAGCATGGTGATGTTGTTTTTCTCATTGTAAATCGGTGTTGACTATGTCGGTGACACTATGTAAAAAATTCAGTTAGTGTCGTTTTTGGAGCCTCAAGCGCTCTTTGGAGAACATTTTCTTCTGTGAAGTATTCACGTTGACCGTTTTCAAGATGTACTGCTAGATGCTGTATAGGAGGGTCTCTTTCGTGTATGAGAAAGCTAAGAATATGCCAAATAGCTTCGTTGCTACTAATGTATTTATGTACGAAACGATAACAAATGGGTATCGTGTTATTTCGTCTTTTTTATTTATATTTTGTACTTCAAATATGGCCAAATCATTGCCTTTATTGACATATTTACAAATGTAATTAATTAATTTTACAGAACTGCAAAGCTCGACATTGATATGAGCCTTATAAGTTTTTGAAAGTAGTGTTGAGTAATGTAACACCCACTGATTATCAAATTCTACTGGATCTGTAAAATTCGAAAGTCGCATTGTGAATGTGTGGCCACCGTTCTCAGTATTTCTGCGGCAGTACATTGGATAACCGTCAATATCCGTGATCAGGTTAGACCTTAACCTCAGCAATACGTGGTGGTTCTGCTATTAAATTGTGGCTTATATGAAACGTTTGTATTTTTAACATAGTGCCATCTATTGAACTCAATCCAGTCAACAGATATCGTCATCTATTAGAATCGTTTGGAGCTAACAGATAATTGTGACTGTCAAATAATAGACAAATTATTTGGAAAAAAATATTTTGCGACTATTAATTGAGATGATTACATCTTAGCCTCAGCAACACGTGGTGGTTATGCTATTAAATTGTAGCTTATATGAAGCGTTTGTATTTTTAACATAGCGCCATCTGTTGAATACTTACTCAATCCAGTCAACAGATATCGTCATCTGTTAGAATCGTTTGGAGCTAACCATAGATTAGCTAATATAATCGGGAGTAGATACGCCACTGAGGTTTTAAAATTATTAATTATAAGTTCCCTCCTGAAGATGGCGCTGATTCTTTACGTGGTCACCTACTAGATGGCATGGATAGAAAGTATCTAATTTAGTTATTTTTTATTTAAATGGGAATGTTGAAGAAATTAGTTCTTCAACCTGTAATAAAATACAAGATGTTATTTATTGCATTTATTATGAGTTTTACAATAGGTATATGGTTGTAATTTTACTAAGTCGTGGTTGTCAGAACACATCATTTTTCCTTTTAAAATACGATTTACATTTGTACACCAACTATTTATAAGTAAGCATATCATATAATTATTGATAAAAAAAATCAAATCATTTTTATATATGGGACAAGTCAAAAAAGATGGATTGCAGAAATGTAAAAAAAAATCAATTGAATCGTGAATTATCTGATAAATACTTTCAACTTAATTATACATAACCTAAAAACATATAGCAGAAACAACATAAAAATCTCAATTATGAAAGTTTTCAACGGAGTTCAAAATCACTTAGGTGCGAAGTTACCTCTTAATTTATTCTTTGTTCTTTTTAGCTCAATTTTCATATTCTTCTGGAGGAAGCCCGCAAGAGTAGAACCGCTCCTTTCCCTTTTAAATTAATCTGCTGTTTCTCAGAATTGGTGTTTGGTCATTATACGTTTCGAAAAAATTCACATTTTATTTTTCTCATTCTTCGTTAGCTGTTTTATTTATAGTACTGTATATATATTTTAAATTTTCACTCACCTTCTATAAAATTCTTGTTGTGGCCTCTTCTCGAATCCATATTTATTTAATTTTCGTCACGTCTGGTATTACGTCCCATCAGTTTCAGTTATATTTTTTTGTCAATCGTTTCACTAATATGTTCATTATTTAATTTAATAATATTATATGTTGACTGTGCCAATTGCTGTTTTATAGTGTTACGTTATACATATTTTGTAGATTAACGTGTAGCTTATTTGTCAAATTTTAAGTTGGCGGCTTGTGGTACACGGTAAAGTTTTCATTAAGCTTATGTTGTACCATAATATATTCTCTGTATTATCTGTTATTTGTTAAAAAAAAATATAAATTTGAATGCCCAATCTGGCTAGAAAAAATTGTTTGACTATATAACCACCGGTATGGGATAATTCTGTGTAGAATTTATCCTCATAAAATAATAAATGACAAAATTTTGTTTAATTTAAACATAAAAGTGATGTGCTCATGGTTGTGTTGTTGAGATATTTGTTTTTATTCGCGAACGAAATGTCTGAACAACGGTGACTACATGTTTTTGATTGAAATTAATTCCTAACGCTCTATTTATTGTGTGCAAAAGAAGAAATGAATCCCTACTATAGGGCAAGGAAAAAACCTTTTTTTTCCTTGCTCTATATTAGGGAGTTTTATCGAAATTACGATATCGAAGTACGATGATTAGTTATTTCTACAATCACAGATTTGTTATTATTAGACAGTATTTTTTATTATAAGGTTGATATAACTAGTGTTGAGTATTATACCCATACAAATATAATTCATTAGAAGTGTACATGCCTTCATTTACACTTAACTCGTCTAGAAGAGCTTGATTAATTTTTTGTCTCACTCTAAACTTTTGTACTGGCGTGAATTTTTCCATTTGTGGAAGCAAACTCATTAAAAAGTAGTAGTCTAAAAGAAATTTGCTCTTGCATCCAAGGACATTTCGACACGTGACAAAAATAAATTGCACAACACTGCACTGCAGGCGCGCGGGCGGTCACCGCTTGACTGGAGTGCACCGCTCGTTGCCCGCCCCCGCGCCGCTGCCGCGCCGCTGATTTCGAGGGTCGGTCCATTTGATTTTAAGGCCGATTTACATTATCTTAGTGTTTAGAAGAGTATTTTAGTACAACTTGAAAGGCAAGTTCTTTAGTGCTTTAGTGGGTTGCGAGTGAACGTTTACATTTCTTCCAGTAGAGTATCATTACAGCGCCACAATGAACGCGCAACGACGTCGGCAAATACGTTCTATTCTACGCAAAATACTAACTGTAGTTATGGAACAAATAGAAGACGAGATTTCATTCGAAATAAATAAACCGAAACAAATGTGGGAACGTCAATGGATTAGACATAGACATAGACATATATTTTATTAGCATCAATACACACACAAAATATACATTTAGAAATAATGAGACATACATACAAGGTAGTTGAAAAACATAACTAAAAATAAAATAAATCTTAGCAAGAGTGAGTGATGTGATGCCAAAAGGATTCGTCTCAGCATATGCTACCACAGATACTGCAGCAGCGCTGATTTTTAGCGGATCCCTAATAAATATTGATTCCGTATTGCGCCCACGACTATATCGGTAGTAACATAAACGAAAAATAATGAATCTACCATTCACTCAAAGTAAATATTTCCAAGTATATACATAAAGTATTGTATATTATATTAAAATTATTAAAAAATACACATACGTAAATATATCTATACACACTCACACACAGAATATATGTATAATATATTTTATTATATATTATATACGCATTAAACTATCCCTATGATATGTTTGCTAAATCGTATCTATGAAATAACCTGCCACTACACGTGAAATAATGATTTTTGAGATTCTAAAAGGTGTATTTTTAATTTAGCTTTAAAAAGATTAGTCGCAGATCCATGCTTGGAGGAAGTTCTTTGTTGCTAAAAGAACTGGCTATTGAAGATCTTAAAGAATATCGCGATTCGATGAGAATGACAGAAGAATCCTTCAATTGGTTACTAAACAAAGTAAGGCCTGCTATAGAAAAAAATGATACTCACATGAGGAGTGCAATACCGGCCAAAATAAAACTCCAAGCTATTATTTATATGCTTGCAACAGGAAATAATTTGAGGACCCTATCTCATTTTTTCAGAATATCTAAATCTAGCCTTTCGTTAATGATTCCTGTAATTTGTGATGCCATCTACAATGCTTTGGAGGAATTTATACAGGTGAGCAAATAAAACATCGTGTAGTTATATTAAATCACATAACTTTAATACTTAAAACTGGGTAATTTTGTCACATAACTTTATAAAACTTTAATAATAAATCACATAACTTTAATACTTTGAAACAATGAAACATTCCTATGTAGACGTTGAACAAAATTACATTGATTAGTAATTTTGTTCGATGTCTACACAGGAATATTTGCCACAGCCTGTGATAAGATATCATTATTTTGTTGAGCTGCAGTTTGTTGGTCACTTAGATCAAGCAAATCAGATGAAATATTAGGAGTATATGTCACAATAAACTCAGAGTGAGGTATTTCAGACATAGATGATTGTCCACTATCTGTAGGAGCTTCTTGAGTAGACGTATGCTCATAAGTGGTTTGTGTAGGCACATAACTCGGAGATGGTGTAGACAGATAACTCGGAGCTGGTGTACGAACATAACTCGGAGATGGTGTAGGCACATAACTCGGAGATGGTGTAGGAACAACAAAAGTGCGATTGCAGGTTTTTAATTCCTGCAATCGCACTTTTGTAAGATAGGTTTGTATCACGCTTTGCGCCCGCAAAGCATTTTCTAAACTCATGGAATTTAATTGGACGCTAACATTTTTGCCAAACAATTCGAATTCGTTTGAGCCTTCTTTTTCGATCATTGATTCTGTGTTGAGCTCGCTTACCACTACTCTTGCTTTGTCTAGAAGTGAATTCAGACCTCTCATATTTCTTTTTCTTGAAGGGCGGGTTAGATCAGAAACTGGCCTATCATCAATACTAACAAGCTCAAAATTTCGAGCATCTTGATTCTACTCCATGTCTTCTTTATCCTCAATGGTATTCTGAAATAAAAATAATAGACTTAAGTCAGTGAAATATTTTCGGCAGCTAGTTAAAATAATACAAATATTCTTTTTTTCTTTCAGGTACCAAGAAACTCTGAAGAGTGGGAGGCAATTGCAAATGGCTTTAGAAAATCTTGGAACTTTCCTGGGTGTTGTGGAGCAATTGACGGCAAGCACGTTGTCATTAAAGCTCCATTTGAAGCAGGAAGCTATTTCTATAATTTTAAGCAACAGAATAGCCTTGTATTAATGGCTTTGGTAGATGACAACTATTGTTTTTCATATATCGATATCGGGTACAATGGTCGAATATCCGATGGAGGAGTTTCCCGAAACTGCAACTTAAGTGATGTTTTGGAAAATGGCTTGCTACCAGAACATCATGTTATAGTTGGAGATGCTGCCTTCACTCTGAAGCCTTATTTAATGAAGCCATTCGGAGGACAAAATTTAACACAAAGAGAAAAAAAAATTAATTACCGGTTGTCTCGTGCTAGACGTATTGTTGAAAACGCTTTCGGGATATTAGTAAGTAGATTTCAAATATTGGGAAAACCACTGCCTTATTGCCCAAACACTGTTGATAAAATTGTAAAAGCTTGTTGTGCTTTACACAACTGGCTCAGAATCAAAAGTTCGATATTAGAACATACAATGGACTTTGAAGACACTGAGAACGAACATTTTGTAGAAGGGAGCTGGAGACAGTTACCTTCAGAGGGACTTGTGCCAATACCTAGACACATGTACAACCATTCGTCGCAAAACGTAGGTCAGATCAGAGAAAAGTTTGCAGACTATTTTATGGGCGAAGGATCTGTCTCCTGGCAGGCACGAATGGTACATTAATTTTTATGTAAGAAAAAATCATACCATATTACTCTGCGTCTTTCTATTTTCTAGGTTTACGCTTCGTAACACATCGTGTAGTATGTTGAACCATTTTACACTCGGCTTGTATATGGAATCTGCTCCAGCTCCAGATTTCATTGAATCGTTAATTTTCTTTACCTCTTGAAAATACGAGTAAGTTGATCTTATGTTTTTAATCTGAAATACAACACAAACTGTTAATAGAAAAAATTTTGTTATTATTATCACTTCGACACCCCCACCCCCCCCCCCCCCCCCACACACACACACACCCACATGCACATACATTTACCATCAGCGGGATCATTGAACCAATTAATTAATCAGTAGAAACTACTTTACTAGAAAAGTTACAAAAATTACATTGATTTGATAAATCAAAATTAATTACATTAATTACTCACTTTTGTGATAACAGCGTTAACGTCGAGGCCAGGAATACCCATAGCTTCTTTTAAGGCAGTGTATGCCGAATGCCTAGCCTGTTTTTGTATAAATTGTTTTTAACGTTCCACAAACATTCGTGAACAACATATTCAGACACAAATTTGATAGTTGTATCTTCCGACCATTTAGCCATCTTTAAAAATCAAAAAACACGCACGCGTTTCACGGCACTTGTGCACTCTCCTAAAGATTTTAATAAATTACGTGTTTACACACAACGAGGCAAGATCTGAGTGCATAGATTAGTGCTGAGTAACGCGCCGGGGGTTGCGCGGGCGCGGGAGGGGTATCACTTGAAACAAAAATAAAAAGCGATTCTATTTTGATTCAACTTGAAAGTCAAGTAGAACCGTACTAAAGCAAGTAGCGTTTACATGTTTCAACTAAAGTACTATCCTAAAGCACTCTCCTAAAACTTAACTTAACTTATCTTCACGCACAATCCCTGACGGGGTAGCCAGAGAGCCAAGTGTCACGATCCTTACAAACCTCTTTCGCTTCTTTCAGATTCATTATCTTCTTCATGCATGCACGTCTAGGTATCCGAGTACTTTTGACCCTACCCTCTTCGAGCAATTTGCTCACATGGTCTTCGAAAGTTAGTCTCGGTCTACCTCGACACCTTTTAATATTAACTTTCGCGCTATATATTTTCTTCACCATTCGGTCTTCACTCATTCGCTCAACGTGCCCAAACCACCGAAGCACGCCCTTATCAATTTTTGTGATAAGGTCATCTTTCAAACCTGCCATATTGCGAATCTCTTCGTTTCGCTTTCGGTCGGCCATGGTAACGCCGCACATTTTACGAAGACATCGCATCTCCACTGCATTCAACTTACTTTTATGCTTCTTCTGGCATACCCAGGTTTCGCTGCCATATAACAAAGTCGGTACCAACACTGCGTTATGTATTGCAAGGCGTGCACTCTTCGCTACGCCTTGCCTTTTGACTAACGCAGTCAGGGCACCATTGACTTTGTTCCCGGCAGCGACACGCCTGTCCACATCTAAATCACATCTTCCATCCCGGCTAAAAGTACTCCCCAAGTATACAATTTCATTTACCTGTTCTAGACGTTCCTGATTTACCCATATTTCACACTTCGTTCTCTCTTCGTCCCTTTCAAATACCAGAACCTTAGTTTTATTAGCATTCAAACGGAGACCTTTAATTTCACATTCCTCTTTCATACACGTGACTAATGCCTGCAGTTCTGCCTCTGATGGTGCAATAAGCACTGCATCATCAGCATACAGCAGACAATTTACTTTAATGTCACCCAATTTCACATCCAAACAACTATCTTTCAGCTTCTGTAAACAGCTGTCGAGATACAGTATGAACAGTCAGGAAGACATGACACAACCCTGCTTTACGCCCGTTTGGACGTTAAACATGGGTGACAGGTCATGTCCTACCCGCACACAGGCTTTACAGTCACAGTAAAGAGACTGCACAGCCCTTAGCAATCGACCATCCACACCATACACCGGTAACAGTTCCCACATTTTCTTCCTTACAACCTTATCAAATGCTTTCTCAAGATCCACAAAAGCACAGAAAATCTTCTGGTTAGCAGCCAGAAGCTTCTCCGTGATCATGCGGAGAGAAAACATTTGATCCGTGCATCCTCTTCCAGGTCTAAATCCGCATTGTGCCTCCCATAGAAATCTTTCCGATTTCTCTTGCATCCTACGTGTCAAAACCTTCGAGTAAACTTTACTTGCTAAACTGGTCAAGCTGATCGCCCGATAGCACCCGCAGTCAAAATGTGAACCTTTACCTTTATATAAAGGCACAATGACTGCGGATCTCCAATCATCCGGGACATCCACCGTCCGCCAGCACAAATTGCACAGGAGATGAAAGCTGTCCCAGACGCGAGGCCCACCATACTTGACCATTTCAGCAGTAACTCTGTCTAGTCCCGCAGCCTTACCACATTTCAAACTTCGAATCGCACGTTCAAACTCTTTCATACTGATGACCTCAGTGTCATCGAGGTCCGGGTCTGGCGTACCAGTCACGGCGTCATCCCCGGATCCCTCACTAAGATCATCACACGCATACATTTCTGTATAAAACTCGCTCCATTGCTGCATGACGTCCGATTTTTCTGAGAGGACGTCATTAGTTCTCGAAAGCACTTTGTTCATTCTTAAGGCCGTCGCACCACTTCTGGTCCTTCCAACCTCTTTCCAGAAGAGTTTGGAGTTCTCCTTAAAGTTGTGCGACAACCTTTCGTCCGCTTCCATTCTACACCTTTCACGCACTTCCTCAATCAGTGCTTTCGTGTGAACTTTCTGCAGCCTATATCTTTCTTTCATCTTCTCTCTCATATCCTTATCATTACTAGAGGCCAAGTAGTCTAACCAAGCTTTCTTCTTCTTCTTTACAGCTTCTTTCACTTCATCATTCCACCATGCATCTCTTCTTTTACTACTGCCTCTTTTTATTGTTCCACACACTTCTTCCGCTGCAATTACCATTCCATCCCTAAGGTTCTGCCAAGTTCTTTCTACACATTCTTTTCTGCCATCGATGGTGTCAAGCTTTTCGGCTACCCTCGCATGATATTTGTCCCTAGTATCCGCTTCCTGAAGCTTCCAGCTTCGGATGCGACAGACCAACTGTGGTTCTGTTACTGCCGTCCGGTAGCGCCGACCCGCGAACAGACCCCTAAATCTAGTAATCACTAGATAGTGATCCGTTCCCAGGTCAGCACCCCTGAACACTCGCGTATCCATCACCTGTTTTCGCAGTCGGTCATCCACCAGGAACAAATCAATCATACTTCTCTCATTCTTTCGTTCTCTAGTATACATATGGATTTTCTTGTGATTAAACACAGTGTTTGTCACAAGAAGACCCTTTTCCTTGCACACCGCCAGTATAAGCTTGCCAGCATCATTAACCCTTTTATCGCCAAACTTTCCAAGTACCGACTCGTACCCTGGTCGAGCGGTACCAACCCATCCATTCAAATCACCACATACAACAATTCTTTCGTTTCCCCTAGCCAAATCTAGAACTTCTCTTACATTCTCCCAAAACTCCTCCAGCTCAGCCCTGGACGACGAAGCTACCGGCGCATAAACAGCCAAAAGGAATAACTTCGTCAGTCCCAATTTAAAGCGAACCCAGAGAAGTCTTGAGTTCACAACCTTATATTCAGTAATAACATCGACCAACCGACAAGACAGCAGCACCCCCACTCCCTGGCAGGCGTTCTCGCTCTCCGGGACTCCTGACCATAGAGCAAACGCCCCGCCAGGGAGCTCTTCAGTACCACTGCCCTTCCGTTTGGTCTCCGACATACACACAACATCTAATTCTCTTTCTTTCATTATTTCGATCAACTCATTCGTCTTATCTCTCATGCCTCCTCTAAAATTCCACGTGCCAAGTCTGCACTCTGTCCTCCACCTTCCGCCGTGTCGGGCTGTGCGTGACGGGTGGCGGTCCCCATCGCCGCTTTGCACGCTGCATTCCACACCAACGGGGACGAGCTGGTGTGCGTCGCCTTGGGGGGACGCCCTAACCCTCGTTGGCATGGGTGCGCAGCTAGTAGAATTGCAGCCCTGAAAAGGGCTGGCAGGGGTCGCGACGAGCACGCTTCTACAATGACCCCCAACTCTCCTAAACACTAAGATAATGTAAATCGGCCTTTACGCATAATATCTTGCCGCCCCCGCGCCGTTGCCGCGGCCGTCTCGCTGCCCGCAAGATTCGAGGCAGAGGCCTTAGTGAGTTGAATAGCCAGGTAAGAGAATTAGCTGACGTAAAGCAATAGTGGTGCACTATGAAACTTTATGCAAATAAAAACATGTCGCAAGTAAAAATATCTGTCAAATGTACTGGTAGAGGGCCAAACCTCTTAGCCCACACCCGGAAACCATTGACATTTTGAGCATGATTCCACAGGAATTTGAGACGGATTCCAATGTCTTCGACAGTGACAGCATAACAGTGAGCGCATACTATATTTTTGTAATTGCCTTAGCACTTAAACAATGTTAAGTATCAGAATTAGTATGTTGTCTTATAATTATGATATCAATATGTGATATTCTATTTCAGAATCCAGAGTTTCAAAGTCAGGAGCAGTCCTTGGTGAATACAATAACACAAGAGTATTTTATCACTCCAGGAGATAATAATAAGAATGTACAAGAGGTTTGTTAATTTAAATTTGTTGAATAAATTTACCTAGATTAATATCTTTTGAATTCTGAATGACTTGTTAATATTTCAAAATATTACACCACTACCTTTTAAGATGCCAACTGATATAGATAGAAGAACAAAACGGTAAGTAACATTCAATGGTGCGAATGATAATAAACATACAGCCAAACGTGATGTAAAATAAAATTTTATTTAATTGTAATAAAATGTTTAATTTGAGTATAATAAAATAATGGGATTAGTGATTTGTGATTGATAATAATATATTTATTTCAGGAAAGGGACTTAACCAGAGAGCGCAATCGTGTTCTTGTCAGTTGCATAAAGGAGGAACATG